AATCTTTGTGATACAGGATCTTGTTTAAATAGCAAATATCTCGCTGTACTCGTGTAGGACTAACCTGAACTGTATACATGAACATCAGTCCCACTCCAATCCAGCTGTGCACGGATGTGAAGTGACTCCAGCCCTAAACATGGGCAATATTTAGCGCTATAGACTTGTTATAGATATCACTACTATGTGTGCATTTGCTTGCCACACCGTGCAAACCGGAAATAGCAAAATATTCATTCGACCAATTCATGTGTGATCAACACATAGACGAAAGCGCGCGTGTCGGACATTTTTGGCCGCGTGGGACAGCGCGATGTTGCGAACGTGGCACACCCGTAAATGTTCAGTGACAACAGGAACAGAAAGTGTGGCACGAAACCATACCCGGAGTTTCACAAATATGTTGGGTTGTGAACATAACTTTCGCCACAGGCGGGACAAAAACATATCAGGAGTGTTCATTGTATGGAAGCTATTCGTAGTGGTGTAGTGGTAAACTTCCGATCAAGAGAGCGTGCAATGAAAACCAAAATATAATCTTCTTTGTAATAGGCGTTAAAAGTAATTTTGAGGTGGTTGTACTAGGAACAGCATGCATTTTTCTATCCGTACAGGTTCGTATTTACTTCTAGTACTCTTTTTTTATTCACACGGTCATGAGAATGGGAAGAAAACGAGGAATGAACTAAGCTGCCACTTGCGTATTGTTTAGAAAACCTCTGCTAAACTGAAACATAATTAAATACGGTGAACCATGCTGTTTAAAGTCAGATCTACAGAGTATATACAAACAATTTAGGGGAAAGCCGCACATGCGCTAGAAAAAGTGGCGACAAGGGAATCGCAACCGCGCAACTGCGTCTCAATGTTGTCAAGGTATCAAAGACGAAGTTGACGGAAAAGGAAACCCATTAATTCCAGATAGAGGTAGTGGTGCAGAGATGAGAAAAAGCATTGAGGATTGGCTCAGAACCCGAGAGCTGCCTTTGTGCGTTGACTCGACGCTAACGCTCTTCTCTGCCAAACGGCTAGAGACAGATGGCGGGGCGCGTTGCAGTTCTCCTCCCTCAGGTCAAGTCACCTGAAAATTGAGGCACCACTCATTTCGCTCGAAGCAAGCTTAGGACTAAGCCTAGGCCCAATCATAGGCTTAAGCATAAGCCAATGTGGTAAGCCTAAGCCTAAACCTAAACCCAAGTTAACCTTAGGCTTCAATGATCGCGCAGCTGTGGTGACCTGATCCTGGAAGAACTGAACGTCTCTTCT